ATCTTCCCAAGTTTTGATAATATCAATTTTAGCCTCAATCATAATTCTATGTTGTACAGTTTCATTTTGTGAAATTTTTAGTCCAAAGAGAGCAAATGTTGTTCATGAAATTTTCAACGCAAATTGAAGATAAAAGGGATCCGTGTAATAAATTTTTCGAGATTGTGTGTATTTACTTTATTGCACTGAAAAGAGAAAGAAATGGCTTTTTTGGCAACACAAAGTTTTTGAGTTTCAGCTTGACAATCGTGTTGTGACGATTCAGATAAGTTTTCAATTGTACGAGTAAGGAAACATGACAAGAAGGAGTTTTTGAATTGTTCTTAAAGTCATCCTCTTTCTTGATAATGTTTGCTTTGCACTACAAATAGCTCTTTTTGATGTCTGTGCTATAAATTTCTAAAATGACTTAACCATTTCTAGAAAACATTTGAAATTTTTACCTATTTAATTTATTCTGAGCATCATAAGTATTCTTTTCGTACTAAGTCCGTAATAAGATTTGGAGACGTTTCTTATTCTTCTTTTTGTAACTGGAACTTAATCCCTAGATCAATAATTTCACAATTATTTTGCCAAATAACTGATTCTTTAGAAATTAGCTATGTTATTAAATAAACTTTGATATGATTTAGCTGTGCACTTAGTACTTAATTTTCGCCCTTTTGTCGCAACTTTTTCTTTTTCTCATAACAAGTGTATTGCTCAATAGTTCAAATATTAGAGTCAAATTTGAGACTTATCTTCACATTACATATGTTTACGGATTATACTTTTTCTATGTTGATTGCAAACTTGGATTTGGTAATCTATCAAATTATAGCTTGAGACACAGATTAAATATGATATGGAAAGTATCTACAGAATTTATTATAAGTTAAAATAAAAAAATTTCATGCAGTACCAAAAAAAACGCCGATTATCAGTGGGATTAAGTTGATGCATCAAGTGCAAAATTTTTTTTCTTGATTAAAATGTTTTCTAATTTTCGTACCAGCCATTGCGAAGCATCTCTTGTTATTTTGGTGGTGGTTGTACGAACACGTTGTGAAAAAAAAAATTGCTACTGCTCTTGCTGGTTGCTAGTAGTGCAGCTTTTTTATTTTAAAAAAATGTTTCAAAAAAATAAATAAATGAAAATTTTCGAGTTAGTAGAAATAGAGATGGAAATAAAGTTGGATCGCACGGACATTCAGTCTCACTTGAATTTCTGGAGAGTAGGCTGAAATACGAAGGAAAGAAATATTTCGAAACATTACTGTTTACATAACGGTATATAAATTGAGTTTGTTAGTTCTTTAAATATTAAAATTCTACGTAAGAGTTGAGACAATAGGCAGTAAGTGGACTGACTATGAAATGTGTTGTATTATTGAAACTATTTATTTTCAACATGTGATAAAGCGTTTGTGACCGATTTATTTTTTTATTCAGGAGTTTTATGTAATTGTTTTTATAACTTATTTGATTTTCTTTTCATTTAAGGTTCAGCAGATTTCGTAAATAAAAGTGACAAAGAATGTTTTGAGGCTGAAAATGAACTGATAAAAACTGCAACCTAAAATTGTAATCCTTGAGACAGATATGAATAACTTATAAATGTAATCGTCGAAAAATCCTAAAATTTTGAAATCATATTCTATTTTATATTTTTTTGACTTTTTTATTTACATAAAATGATAGTAATGTGATTATTTTATGCTTTCTATCAAAATTACTGTTGATCAGTTCCGTTTTCCAGTAAAAATATATGCACTTATTTATTTACTTGCTTCTTTATATTCATATATATAGTATTTATATATATTCATTATTTATTACTTTGGAAAAATATGTGAAGTTGAACAACTGTTGATTTAATCACCATTTAACATATGTGAAGAATGCTTTTTTTGTAAACAAACGTAATATATGAATCCCTTTTCATTTTAGGAACGTAAGGGCGTACCGGTGATCGACGGTAGCAGCATAATATCCGTAAGAAATGCGGAATCGAACAGTGGAGCGGTGCTAGGATTATTTGCTTGAAGCTGCTCAAGAAAGCTAAGGCCCTGAAGAAACGAGAGGAGTTTGCCTTAGGCCCCGGCTAGGGGCGTTATGCTTGAAGTTGAAACCTCGGCTAGTGAGCCGTTGACACTTCACTTTAATATCCCGAATCCTGAGCACAGCCGTAAAAATTTTCATAAGCCCGGATATTTTCTTGCTGTTGTATTTACGCTAGCTGCTTTTCTCAGTTCATTGTACATAAGGGAGCTTTTATTTTCTACCGAAAATCATCATCTCATTGCTACTATTACAGGTAAATTAATTGCTTATCATCAAATTTAGTTGGTTTATATGAATGCCTTTGTTTCCTACAATTATTTGTTAGTTTTTTCGTCAAAATTTATCTACAGTTGAAACAAGCTAGAGGGTTAATCCGATTGACTGCTAAAATGGTAATTCTTGGAATGTTTTGAGAAAAAATTTCATTACTAAACTGCTACTTTGAAATTAATATGGGAATTAAACCAACAAGAAACATCTATGCTTTGCTCTTCAGCCTGAAGATAATCATTATCATTTCACTTCTTCTATTCTCTACTATCGATTGAGCATTTTTCTTGAATTTAAGTGGGCAAAATTCAATGAATCCATGCTAATCAGTGCTTAAGAAAACACTTACTTTGCTGACAGTTTCATTCCATTTCCTTTTTTGGAGATAATGCTCGGTATGATTTAATGTATTTAATTAACTGAACTTCATCTAATGAGCTTAGTAATGAGATATATAATCGGCTGTCAATCTAAATTGATATCTTATTTCATAAATTATCTATGAAAATTTAGCAGTTTTATATATGAAATAAGAGCGTCAGCGATATTCCTATCAAATTTCAGTTAGTGACATTCCACTTTCTATTTAATGCCTAATTATTTTTTTCCTATTTCCTGTTTGTTTGTATTTGTAACAAGAAATATTAGAAATATGATAATAATGCTATAAGAGACATGAATACAAATTAAATTATTGCTTTGATTGGAATACATATATCCAACATAACGTGGAAAACTGAGATAAACTTTCAAATAGATTAACTACCTCTTTACTTTAATAAAAGCTAGAGTGAATTTGAAAAACATTTTTCATTTCATATAAATTATGTTAATATAATCGTCTCTTGACGAACATGTCAAGACCATCTCATTTGACAGCGTATATTTTTTTCATTCGCTATTTTTTCGTTTATTTTGGTGGCTGGCACGAAATTATGCGTAAAACGTCTGCTACGTGCATAAAAGTTGCAGCTGCTGGCACAGCATTCTTACTTCTAAAATCATGTCGTTAAATTTGCGACAAATTTGCTTAAAATATCAATAGTGGTATCTTTTTCGGTATGAAGTTTTTTCATTTCTGTTCTTGTGCGATTGCTGTAGAAGATAATCACTCAGCTTTCAAACTGCACTACATTTCTTCGCCTCAACATTCTTTTTGCTCCACTTTTTTCACATCCTTTTTTGATGAACCACTGCTGTTTTATTCCTTCCATCCTGTCCAATCTACTCGCATCATGGTCTCGCTTCTTCAGCTGCATAGCAAAGCTAAAAAAAGTCTGGTTGATCACACTTTTTTTTAAATCAATTTTCCTTCTGTTACTATTCATTTTTCCCGCCTCTTTCTGCTATTTAATTAGCACTGAAAACCAACTTATTTTTCTTATTATCAACGACGAAATGCACACTGAATTATAAAAATAACTGGCTATAAATTATTAAATTTTAGTCTTATGACATCACAAATAATTTTTAGAGAAAGATATTGCTTTTGAATTTTGATAAAATATTAGTTTGATTTTTGCTTCAAACTTTGAATGTTCAAGTTTTTGTTTTTTTCCTTTTTTCTAACCTCAAACTTTGTAATACTCTTACAAATGAATTTACCAAAATTCGCTTCGGAATTGACCTGTAGCATATTCAAAAATGCTTTTAAATTTTAAATCATCAAAATGGAAAATTGCAACATGAGAAGAAAGATCGAAGTTGCTGCATAAAAATGTAGACGTTAAGGCGCTCCTACTCATGAGGGAAAAATCTATTCACTGTCTGGCTTGATTTTTTGCTTCCTTCATTTTTCACTTCTTAAGACAGGAAGTCTATGGAATTTTGTATGACAGAAATAAAATCGTACTTTAATCCCGTCTAACTACTCAATATTTCCCCTCTTCTTATTTACTTCTAAATTATCTGCAAACATTTGCTCTTATTATTTGACAGTTTACAAACCAACGGATGTTTAACTTAGTCATTCATTTACTTAGTTTCCATTTAGATTCGTCTTCACGATCACTCATATTTTTTTATCGATTCCTCTTGAAATTTTCATACACAAAAGGAGTGGAACGCTCATTCACACTTATTGCGAACAGTTTAACGTCTGTACAATAATTAATGAACAAGAGCATCGGAGTGTAATATAATCGTGGAAACAAAGATGATGGAACATACTGAAAAATCTTCAAAAGTACTATACGAATAGACCGTTAAAAAGTCCATGATCCATGTTTAAAATGGTTGAAATGCCTGGATTTTTTTTTTATTGCAGTAAATGCGAAATTTTTGCTTAGATTCGTAAAAAATTCTAATGCGATGTTTAAGTGCATACTTTTTTCCTGCTCTTTGGCAAAGTTTACAGGAATTCACGATCAACAAAAAATGAATGTTTACTCTAACTTATTTTTGTTAGAATCTATTGTTTGCAAATAATAATTTCCTCAACAATATTTCATTCCAAGTTCTTCGATTACAGCTGTCAGACTTTATAGTTGATACATCAAACGCTTGTTCAAGTAGTAGTTATTCAGCACAATTTGTGTCATAAAGAAAATTTTTTACTCATTAAGCAACAATAAATAATAGCAATGGTAACACTCACATATACAAGTTATTTCAAAATTGATACCTTCATTTTATAAAACAATAAAACAAACAATAATAACTTACTGAAATGACAATATACAGATGGAAAGTTAAGCGATGGCGAAATATGGTACATCAATCGGCATCAAACAAGACGACGCCGCTCCGCATGGGGCGATGCCAAGTGGCATGGGGTACGTGGATTGGCACGAGATTGTGGTCTTACATGTTTTTTCCGTTTACGTCAGGATACCGGTGATCAAATGCCTAAAAGCGAACTACGCATTCATCTTATGCGCTGGAAGCAATTACCCCAACCTCATAACAAGTCTAAATTTTATTGTTTTCAGTCTCAGTAATTTTTTTCTTTTTTCACTGCAAAAACAATTCCCTAATAGTTTTTGTCTTAAATGAATTGGTAATCAATGATTTCTATCTTACAATACTGAAGTGTTATAACAAGTATTATCTGGGAAATTTTTTTGCTCATCATTGCTCGTATTGAGTGTAGATCGTTATCGGTGTTGGAAAACAATCGGATACAGCCTATTGTACAATTCATTGATTCACCTGATGCAATGCATGCACGGATGTCTAGATTCGTACCTGATTGTCTTTACAGCGCTCATGTTGAAGGAGCTACTGAATCGTCGATTGTCAACTTATGCGACATCAAAGGAGGGCTGGTAATAAATAGTTATATTACTGTTTTGTTTAACAGCTATCGCTCTGTTTTGACTTAATACTAAACTATTAAAGAAATTTTGGATTCCTATCATATAAGTACACATGTTAAGTATCAAATTAACCATTTCTCATTTACAAATTTTTGTTCAGTTTTGAAACAGCTTCTTTTAATTTTAAAAATTACTATGCTTTTCAGTTTGGCACACTTGCATTACCAGATGGAACATATCTCATAGAACCGGTGAAAGATGATTTTAAGAAGCCACGAAAAGCTTCATCGTCCAGAGCTCATATTGTATACAAATCCCGATCTCATTCATTCCACAAATATGGTTCCCCAAGTTCTTCTGGCATTATTACTACTACTCCTTCTCTAACCATTGCTGCTGCCGCTGCTGCTGCTTTATATTCAACAAATAATAATAGTAATGATTATAATGATGATAATACTGATAATCATAATTCTGCCAATGGTGATAATCATGCCACTTATCATATAAGTGACGAATATATCGAAAGTGACAATAACACTGCCTATTATACAACTCCATTTGTTCCGAATATCGACACCATTGGTATGTTTTATTATGAAAATTGAAAAAAAAATGTCAAAAAATTTGAACGATAACTTTGGATTTTCATTTCAACAGCAAGAATTACATTTACTTTATGAAGGATAATAATTTTTTTTCAAATAAGGTATTGAGACTTTATTAGTACGGTTTGTTTCTGAATCCTCAAAAACTGTTATAGTCAAATAAAACTTGTTGCAAAAATAGTTCAAATTGTTCGAAGGTATTGCAAGATATCAGTTGATTCATGATATATTCTGTTCAGCTTGAATTTTTCTACAGTGACATAATTTTCCAACCGCAATTTATCTCCAAAGGCTCAATTTTAAATGTCTAATTTATCTTGCTTTAAATTCGAAAAACCTGTTGAAATATTATCAGGGATCATTTCTACAGTTTATAAGTTTTCCTATTCTTAAATACCATAGGAAATGGTATTGCTTAAAAATCAGTCTGCTTTTCAATATGTCTGATTTTCTGATAATTACTGATAATGTTGGAAGGCATTAACCTTGTCGTAATATACAATGGAATATTGGAATCCTTTTACTCAGAGCACAACTAGTTAATGTCATATTACACTTTCTATAATAAAGGTGTTGGTGCCTGGCAGTACCCCAAAGTATTCCATCACATTGGCAGTTAATCTTATTACATTGAACTTTTATAAAGTTTTTAAAAAATTCTTCATCACTACTGATAGAATAAATAACTATCATTCAATAAAAAATGAGTGATTTGCAATAAAGTTTCCATAATCAGACGTTCTAAGTGTGATTAACGCTTGTGAAGTGCATCAGTATTGACATAGAGAAAAGATAGGTGATTATATTGACGTACTTTGCATGAAGTTTATTTAGATGTTTTGCAGATTTTTCATGGTATTACAGAAAAGACGTTTATTTTCGTTTAACATCTATCTGATTAGTATTAAATCGTTAAATTTGAACAAGTAAAAGCATGTAATGTGGTGAAAAAGAACGATAAATTATTGCTTGAATTCTATTTTGCAAAAGTATGTGGTAAGCTAGAAATTCAGTCAGTGACTGAAAAATATAACGAATTACAAATTCTTCTCAAATGAATTGTGAAATATATTGATATATTTAGCCACAAAAGCGAACTTTATAAAAAATTGTGAATTCATTAATTTTTCGAGCTTAGACTGAATATTTCTTACATAATTTTGTTATTGGCATTTGCAATTATCATTATTTTTTGTTTGTATTGCAAAAAAATTTTTAAAATAACGATTTTTCAAAAAGAAAATTAATTGACAATAATGTTGCAAAAACTGAATTATTTAATGAAGTAAATTGCTTGTTGATGAATTACCGAAAATCTTCTGGAAAATTTAAAAACTTATAACAAATAGCCAAAGACTTTAAATGAGATGATATCTGAGCCAACAAATGGCACTGTTGTGACACTTTTAACCGCAAACAACTGAACTCGAAAAACTTTACTGATTCAGAAATTAAAGTAGACTGAAATTAGCCTGATCTTTTATGCAGTATTGATTTTTGCAAGTGAAAAGAAAGCAAAATTATTCTTCTGGAAAAAGTTAGAGAAAAAATCTAGATAAAGCACAAAATCGCAGCAACCTATTTCATGGTCTGTTTGTTAATATACTTTAATGAATTCTTTCAAATTAATAAGCCGAATGTAATGGAAGGCTACGTAAACATCTGATTTCATTCAAAAATTTACTGAAAACACCCAGAGGTTGACTATTTTATTTTATTACAGTAAATGAGTAACAGAAATGAATGAAAAATTTTATCAGATAAAAAATTTGACTCAGTGTAAAAAACGAATTGTTTCGGAATAATCAAATTCAGATGTATGTTATTTTTGTTTTTGATCTTTATTTTTTTGAAACTTGCAAATTTATGAACATATTGTGCAGAATTCCGAATTGTTTTCCGTCATTTTTGTTTTTATGTTCAAATGTTTTTAATGAAAAATTAGGTACTATTTGAAAGATATATATGCAGATAGCTGGTTTTCTCGATCTCGACGTTCAGCCAATTCCTGGGATCATTATGTTGAGGTACTTGTTGTTGCCGACAACAAAATGCTTCTTTATCATCAAAATAATCTTGAAAATTACGTGCTTACATTATTTTCTACGGTTTGTTACTTTTCATTAGATTTGAATTTATTTATCAGAAGTAAAAAAGTTGGTGTGAAAAAAAGTGATAGTTGGAAATAAAATAATATCCTTTGATGGAATCGTTTTATTTACTTAAAAACAGTTTAACAATGAGTATATATAATTGTGTAATCGAAAGTAAATATTTGGAGTTTTGATTATTTCATACTGATTCGATTATATTTCAATATTTGTGTTTAACATTATAAATATTAACAATAAGAAAGCAGAGTGATAACTTGAACTTAATGGGCTGCTTTTTCTATTTAAGGTAGCTTCTATTTATCGCCATCCAAGTTTACGTGCTGCAATAAATATTATCGTGACACGCTTAATTGTATTAAAACATGAGGCGGTATGATTTAAAAATTTGTAAAAACTAGTATGAAAAAGCAATTCTCGTCTTTAAGTCCTATTAACAATTTGAAAAAAAATGCATTGATATAGTTTTATCATGATATTAGTAACTTTGATAATTGCTAGAAATCATTAAAAATGATGTCCTAACAATTTCTTCATATTAGTATAAAAACTAAATGAAACATGCAATTTTTAGCAGTTTAATTCAAAAAAAAAATGTATTCTGCAAAATTCAAATGCATTATATATTTGTGCATAAATGAGTAGTGATCATATTTTTCTGCATATATCTTCTAAAGAACTTTATAAAGTGAAATTGATCGCTGCTCTTTATTAATATTATTACTTATTATCGAATTATATTGCTTATGCTGAGTGCAAGATGAAAACATATCACATAAAAAATTATTAGTATCTTCAGGCAGGACCGCATATTAGTGAAAATGCTCAAGATACACTGCAACAATTTTGTCGCTGGCAAGAAGCATATAATGATAAAAATGATGATGCACCAAACCATCATGATGTAGCCATTCTTCTCACTCGGCATGACATATGCAGGTTATCAGTGTTACAAATTATTATGTTTGATTACCTGATCAATATTTTGCTCACGTTACAGTTTTGCAGTTTCCATCTTAATTCTAAATCAACACTGCAGTTTTTTCTCATGTTGTCTTCCTGGTTCAAAATCGAAATTACTTTCATTCATTTCATTTTATTTTTTCACCACCTATCTACACAACATTGAGCGACTGAGTTCCTATTATACAAAAATTGATGTTATACATAAAAAATTTGCTTATAAATTTTATATCAGAGCACCAGGAAAATGTGATACGTTGGGTCTTGCTGAATTAGGCACTATGTGTGATTCATTGCGAAGTTGTGCTATCATTGAAGATAACGGTTTATCAGCTGCATTTACAATAACTCACGAATTAGGACATATGTAAGCTTTTACCTACAAGACCAAATACATTTGATATGATTTACATTTTGTTTAATTTTGATACTTTTGCAACATTTATTTGCGTGATATCAGGTTACAGTAAAAATAATGGGAATCATCGTCTCTGCATTAAGTTATATAGTAGACTGCTATTTAAGAAGCAGAATTTAATTTATTTTTTCCAGCTAAAGCATAGTAGAAGTCAAACATATTTTTAATACCTTATTTCTCTAATTAGTGTTTTCTGATATGAAAAAGCTTATTGCCCAGATAACCTAAATTTCTCTAAAATTTCTTTATTTATGAATGTTTCAAGTATAAGTGCTATTTCAGTTTCAATATCCCTCACGACGATGAACGTAAATGCGGTCGCTACATGGCTCTTAATAAGCATAATTATCATATAATGGCACCAACACTTGAATACAATACTCATCCTTGGTCATGGAGTCCATGTAGTGCTGCAATGCTTGCCAAATTTCTCGAGTTGGTCTCTTTTTTCAATAACATAAATATTTATAATGAAAGACAAAATAAAATAAAACATGGAGCTCAGTTTTAATTTTCATTTTATTTATTCTGGCACTGGATCGCATTCTGGCACTCTGGCAGTACTTGTCTCGCGCTCAGATTTGTTGTACTTATCGTTCTCGCTTCCTCCTCGTGGAATCCATATCGACTGTCGAAGGAGATGCTTTCGAGCGTCTTGTTGAGAACTATCGATTGGATGTATGCCTCGACGTGGTCTGATATACTAATCTCCTTCGCACAGCGTTTGTGGAATTCGTTACAATCCAAATCATGACATACGGAATTATTTTCGTCCTGCATTCTTCATTTCACCTCTGACCGAAGCTTATTAGCAAGTAGGTCATATTTTCGCTTCTTCTCCGTCTCGACTGCTGTCAACCTCTCCTGACTAGTAATGCCAACCTTAATCAAGATTACTTCACGTCGCTTCTTGTCGCACACCAGAATTTCCGTTCGATCTGCCCTTATTCTAATTGCAGTTCTTGATAGCGTATCGCCTCTAATTTCCGCGTTTTCATTAGCGACAACTTCTTGAACAGAATAGCACCACATGCGTGGGGATGCTTTAAGATCATACTTTTAGCAGATTCCTAATGGGTACATAGGAACCTCATTGTG